ATTTCACGAAAAAAGATTTAAAATGCCGCCATTTTGGGTTGGGTCGTTAGCGACCCCTTGGGCTCTACAAAAATGTTTGCACAAACATTTCAAATGAAAATCATAATGTGTATTTTTTATACGTTTTATTTATCTGATTACAATTATCAACAAAAAGATTTGAACAAGATACTATTATCTATAATTATGGAATCAGGAGTTATGGTATTCTAAGAAGCATTTGTCATGAAGAGGAACTTTGCATGTATCACAACGTTTGTTTGTTTTATTTTTGCAACTCTGACAGCGGCGTCTTGCTTCTCCCGTTATTATCAGATGTCTCCCAGATGCAGAAGCAGGATATCTGATGGCAGCTCGTTTTTTTCCCGCTACAGGTGGTTCTCGACCATATGTTGACAACAGTTCCTTTGCAATACCTCTGCGAAAATCTAGTTGGTCTTTTTTATATCCATACTGCCGTGCAAGATTCCAAGAATTTACAACACATACATCAATTGCCCAGTACATCAGTGGAGTGTACCATTTTTTACCTCTCATTGCTATTCTGTAATTTGAAATATGATTGTCGAGCTGATCAACACCACCCATATACCGGTTATACTGTTTTACTATAAACGGCTGGGGGATTTCTATTTTCTTTTTCTCTTTAGCAGAATATCTCAGACACTTTTGAAGAGGAATACCCGCTATTTTATTATTTTCCCCAGCAGCAACATCCATGGATCCTCTTTCCATTTTTTTCATAAGAGTTGAGTTTTTCAGAGGGCACTTTCTGTACGATTTTCTCTTACAGTACCGGTGGCTCCAAAACCCTTTTTACCAAGACGTATTATCAATTTAGCAGATGTAAAAAAATTGTCGAAATAAAAGGTAAATCTAAGATTTGGAAATTCTTTTTCTAAGAGGGTAGCAAAACTTGTTACTACACGTTCGCCAAGACCCATACCCCCTAGATTTTATATATTCTGCTTCCTTCCTTGATATATATCAAACTGCAAACAATAGCCACATTTCAATGCAGCAACCCAAGCTTTATATCCAAAGCGAATGGGCTTGCCTCTTATGTATTGCTTGCATCCGTGCCTACCGTAGTATGCTATCATCGCTTCGTCTATAGAAATATTACTTTCAATTGGTGCGTACTTGATAAAATTTTTATTTATGGCTTCAATAAAGGGACGTATCTTTCCCAACTTATCACCTTCTGGGAGATTGTCAATATCAGCAGCATGTAAAACGCTAGAAATCTCTTCAAATCGATTTCGATTCTTCCCAATACATCCATCTTCTCGGTAGAGGAACGTATCCAGACAAAACTAAAATTCTAACAAAAACATACATTTCGTTCAAACAAAGTTCAAAGTTCAGCTTGTTCTTTTTAGAAGCATATGCAACGCTGTGTTTTACAAGATCTGTTAGAATATCGGGTGACAAAAATACTTGAAAAAATTGGAGAGGCGAACTCTCCGATGTCAGTGTAAGTGGAGGTGGAAAATTTGAAAATGTTTCCGTATTATTACTCTGTAGGTCGCCTTTCATCCACTTACATTTTTCATATGCAGAGTGACTTGCAAAATATGCGAGCGGCAAATTGTCTTCTTCATCCCACTCAATACCAGCAACCCCCTCAATCACTGTTGCATTTTGTGATCTCCTTTCAGTGTCCATGAAGTAATATTCAGCTTGAGCAGAAAGTCCTGGAAAAAAAAAATAAACTACTAAAAACATTCTAAAAAAATAATGTGAATTATTAAAATTAACATTAGAATGTATTGTGAAGCCCAAAGGGTCGATAAAGACCCACAAGGTTTTTAGGTTATACACAACTTTTATTGCTACAAATATTTCGAAACAATGTATTTGCAGTCGTAGATATATGCTACCTAAAGCTAATTTGAATAGTAGATAACAGAAATAAAAAACAATAAATGTACTTACCATTCATAATAAATTGGAAGCCATGTTTTACTACACTCAATCTATGGAATTCGGGCTGCTGTTTAGATGCCGGAAATATGCACAATGCCGTCGACCATAAGCACGTGGCTTCATGCAGGCATGTGGTTGCGTTTGCCGAATATTTACGCGTTGTTGTCATGTTGTGCTGAGAGTAGGGTATTAAAATATCTCGTTGTTCATTATCGACCCCGTGGGCATTAATGGGTTAAAAAAGAAGACATACAGTTGGATATTCTTAAAACTAGCTTTACAATAAGTATTCAAATAAGTTCCCATTTTGTTGGATACAGAGTCTCGCTCGACGAACTAATGATTGCGTAGCCCGAAAAGTGGAAAACCTTTTTCTTCTTATTTCATTTGCAGCCTGATGGATTCTTTGAAGTAAATCTTCTTGAGTATTTACTTCGGTCGAGTAAACTAGGTCTTTTAATGACCCCCAAAAATAGAAATCCAATGGATTTAGGTCAGGTGAACCTGGCGGCCACGCTATAGGACCTCCTCGGCCTAACCACCTGTCTGGAAAAAGTTCAGATACATCTCTGAAGTAAGACGATTGGGAAAGTACAATAGGCCCAATTACTTGATCCCCAATTACTCCTGCCCATAAGTTCAATGAAAATCTATGTTGGAAATTTGTACGGCGAACAACTTTTGGATTTTCATCTGACCAGTGATGCATGTTATGGAAATTAAAAGCACCATTCCTAGTAAATATTGACTCATCCGACCATAATATTCTAGGAATAGTGTTTTCATTTGCTAATATCCACTGGCAAAACTCGATTTGTGGTAAAAGATCTGCCTCCGTTAAATGCTGCAACCGTTTAAAATGATAAGTATGTAATCCTTGCATTCTTGTCATTCTTCCTATCTAAATTTATTATTTTTAGGATAACTATCAAATAGGTATTCATAAATTTTTCTTACTATTGATCGAGGTATATCCACAATTTCTGAAACATTTCGTATGCTTATTTGCGGATTATTTCCAAACATATTTAAAGCAAGATCCATACGATGATTTCTCAGTGGCCTTCCTGAACCCTGCATGCGCTGAAAACTTCCATGGTTTGACAAATTCCGGTGAATATCAGTAAACATTCGACGTCCAGGTACTATGCGATTGGGAAATCTTTGATATTCTCTTACGGCGGCCAATGACCTGCCATTGCAAAACCCGTACTCAAAATGCATGTCAGTCAGTTCTCTGTCTGTAAATCTTGGCATTTTAAATCGATTTAATAAAAATTTTGATTTTAATCTAGTAATTTTACACTGCTAACAATGTCAGCTTAACGTCAAAATATGTCATAACAAATCAAAACAACTTTTGTTTGCAGTCCTGGCTAACTATGTATAATCTACAATTCATTTAAATTCGCAGTACATTTCCTATCATGTGACAAATTTTTTAGTTTGATTTTATTCAAAAATAGCACAATTTATCGATATTCAATAAGAGTACCTTTTTTATGTAGAAAACCCTAAATTTTAAAATTCTAAAATTGAATTTCAAAAATAGAATCACACAAAAATTTTGGGGCTAAAATAACCTGCGTCCGTCCTTGTTACATACGCTTCCAAACAAAACTGTCTAAAATTGTTAATATTTTCAAATCCAGCATAAAAAACTAGGCTAGAATACCAAATTTTATGTCTTTATCTCATCACGTTTCGGAAATATTAAGGAAAAACCATCTTCAGGGGAGCCCCTTTAAAAGACCGTAGCGCAATTAGGGGACGTTTGTCGACCTATGTTTATATAAACTTTTCTTCCTATTTTAAGCTCTAGAAACCGCTGGCAGAATATTGCACACTTTTTTCGGGACATCCTGTATAACAAAGGAATTAAATGGATCATGTCAATCAAACAGGCTCATACAGTGAGTTCATGATCCCTACAGATTTGATAACATTGCGATCTAGCCTACCGCCCTACAGTACAGTACCAATTACCTAGCAACGTGGCAACGCAGCAGAAATACACGCATTATCATTCGGTTATCCTTTAGCATTCGAACCAGACAGATGTACGCAAGCTGTAAGGGCAACATTAAATTAATTTCAATGTTTCGCTTTTTTAGATACTTGATAAAAAGAGAAAAGTTCATTTGAAGATTTATCTGATCTTAAAATGACCGGGAAGGCCATGATCAGGTGCACTGTCAAGAATATACTTAAACTTTCCTGTTGAAAATTCATTTGAATACTTGACTATGAAGTTTCTTGCTTTTTTTATTTCCGGTGTAAAAGTGTTGCCCTTTAAAAAAACTGTCTTGACCTGCAAACTAGCTGGGAGTCCATAGTGAAAGCCATCAAGATCAACCAACGGATGAATCTTTTTAAACCTTACAACTTCATTACGCAACATTTTTCTTTAGGAAACTTGTTTTTTGAGATAAAATGTCCTTTTCCTTTTTTCTGGATACCCCCAAATGCCCATGAAGGTCATGGTCAAGGTCATGGGCAAACACATACTAACGGGTGATTTTTTAAGAGGTATAGGATTTGATTTTCAAAAAAAACACAAAAAATTTGAAAAAACGATTAAATCTTTATTTGAGTCGATAGAACGGTCGATATAATTTAATGTTTAAAGATTATTTCATGTAAATGTTGGCCGCGGCTCCGCTTTAGATGGCCCATGCGCAAGGTCCAATTTTGGCACACTCTCTCCAACATATCGGTCGGTATCTCACGAATAAATGCTTCAATATTGGCTTCCAGTGCGTCAATCGTTGCTGGTTTATCCCTGTAGACATTAGCCTTAACATGGCCCCACAAGAAATAGTCCAACGGCGTTAAATCACACGATCTAGGCGGCCAATTAACGGGCCCCAAACGTGAGTTAAACTGTTCACCGAATTCGCCTCTCAATAGGGTGTGGCTCCAAAACCCTTTTTACCAAGACGTATTATCAATTTAGCAGATGTAAAAAAATTGTCGAAATAAAAGGTAAATCTAAGATTTGGAAATTCTTTTTCTAAGAGGGTAGCAAAACTTGTTACTACACGTTCGCCAAGACCCATACCCCCTAGATTTTATATATTCTGCTTCCTTCCTTGATATATATCAAACTGCAAACAATAGCCACATTTCAATGCAGCAACCCAAGCTTTATATCCAAAGCGAATGGGCTTGCCTCTTATGTATTGCTTGCATCCGTGCCTACCGTAGTATGCTATCATCGCTTCGTCTATAGAAATATTACTTTCAATTGGTGCGTACTTGATAAAATTTTTATTTATGGCTTCAATAAAGGGACGTATCTTTCCCAACTTATCACCTTCTGGGAGATTGTCAATATCAGCAGCATGTAAAACGCTAGAAATCTCTTCAAATCGATTTCGATTCTTCCCAATACATCCATCTTCTCGGTAGAGGAACGTATCCAGACAAAACTAAAATTCTAACAAAAACATACATTTCGTTCAAACAAAGTTCAAAGTTCAGCTTGTTCTTTTTAGAAGCATATGCAACGCTGTGTTTTACAAGATCTGTTAGAATATCGGGTGACAAAAATACTTGAAAAAATTGGAGAGGCGAACTCTCCGATGTCAGTGTAAGTGGAGGTGGAAAATTTGAAAATGTTTCCGTATTATTACTCTGTAGGTCGCCTTTCATCCACTTACATTTTTCATATGCAGAGTGACTTGCAAAATATGCGAGCGGCAAATTGTCTTCTTCATCCCACTCAATACCAGCAACCCCCTCAATCACTGTTGCATTTTGTGATCTCCTTTCAGTGTCCATGAAGTAATATTCAGCTTGAGCAGAAAGTCCTGGAAAAAAAAAATAAACTACTAAAAACATTCTAAAAAAATAATGTGAATTATTAAAATTAACATTAGAATGTATTGTGAAGCCCAAAGGGTCGATAAAGACCCACAAGGTTTTTAGGTTATACACAACTTTTATTGCTACAAATATTTCGAAACAATGTATTTGCAGTCGTAGATATATGCTACCTAAAGCTAATTTGAATAGTAGATAACAGAAATAAAAAACAATAAATGTACTTACCATTCATAATAAATTGGAAGCCATGTTTTACTACACTCAATCTATGGAATTCGGGCTGCTGTTTAGATGCCGGAAATATGCACAATGCCGTCGACCATAAGCACGTGGCTTCATGCAGGCATGTGGTTGCGTTTGCCGAATATTTACGCGTTGTTGTCATGTTGTGCTGAGAGTAGGGTATTAAAATATCTCGTTGTTCATTATCGACCCCGTGGGCATTAATGGGTTAAAAAAGAAGACATACAGTTGGATATTCTTAAAACTAGCTTTACAATAAGTATTCAAATAAGTTCCCATTTTGTTGGATACAGAGTCTCGCTCGACGAACTAATGATTGCGTAGCCCGAAAAGTGGAAAACCTTTTTCTTCTTATTTCATTTGCAGCCTGATGGATTCTTTGAAGTAAATCTTCTTGAGTATTTACTTCGGTCGAGTAAACTAGGTCTTTTAATGACCCCCAAAAATAGAAATCCAATGGATTTAGGTCAGGTGAACCTGGCGGCCACGCTATAGGACCTCCTCGGCCTAACCACCTGTCTGGAAAAAGTTCAGATACATCTCTGAAGTAAGACGATTGGGAAAGTACAATAGGCCCAATTACTTGATCCCCAATTACTCCTGCCCATAAGTTCAATGAAAATCTATGTTGGAAATTTGTACGGCGAACAACTTTTGGATTTTCATCTGACCAGTGATGCATGTTATGGAAATTAAAAGCACCATTCCTAGTAAATATTGACTCATCCGACCATAATATTCTAGGAATAGTGTTTTCATTTGCTAATATCCACTGGCAAAACTCGATTTGTGGTAAAAGATCTGCCTCCGTTAAATGCTGCAACCGTTTAAAATGATAAGTATGTAATCCTTGCATTCTTGTCATTCTTCCTATCTAAATTTATTATTTTTAGGATAACTATCAAATAGGTATTCATAAATTTTTCTTACTATTGATCGAGGTATATCCACAATTTCTGAAACATTTCGTATGCTTATTTGCGGATTATTTCCAAACATATTTAAAGCAAGATCCATACGATGATTTCTCAGTGGCCTTCCTGAACCCTGCATGCGCTGAAAACTTCCATGGTTTGACAAATTCCGGTGAATATCAGTAAACATTCGACGTCCAGGTACTATGCGATTGGGAAATCTTTGATATTCTCTTACGGCGGCCAATGACCTGCCATTGCAAAACCCGTACTCAAAATGCATGTCAGTCAGTTCTCTGTCTGTAAATCTTGGCATTTTAAATCGATTTAATAAAAATTTTGATTTTAATCTAGTAATTTTACACTGCTAACAATGTCAGCTTAACGTCAAAATATGTCATAACAAATCAAAACAACTTTTGTTTGCAGTCCTGGCTAACTATGTATAATCTACAATTCATTTAAATTCGCAGTACATTTCCTATCATGTGACAAATTTTTTAGTTTGATTTTATTCAAAAATAGCACAATTTATCGATATTCAATAAGAGTACCTTTTTTATGTAGAAAACCCTAAATTTTAAAATTCTAAAATTGAATTTCAAAAATAGAATCACACAAAAATTTTGGGGCTAAAATAACCTGCGTCCGTCCTTGTTACATACGCTTCCAAACAAAACTGTCTAAAATTGTTAATATTTTCAAATCCAGCATAAAAAACTAGGCTAGAATACCAAATTTTATGTCTTTATCTCATCACGTTTCGGAAATATTAAGGAAAAACCATCTTCAGGGGAGCCCCTTTAAAAGACCGTAGCGCAATTAGGGGACGTTTGTCGACCTATGTTTATATAAACTTTTCTTCCTATTTTAAGCTCTAGAAACCGCTGGCAGAATATTGCACACTTTTTTCGGGACATCCTGTATAACAAAGGAATTAAATGGATCATGTCAATCAAACAGGCTCATACAGTGAGTTCATGATCCCTACAGATTTGATAACATTGCGATCTAGCCTACCGCCCTACAGTACAGTACCAATTACCTAGCAACGTGGCAACGCAGCAGAAATACACGCATTATCATTCGGTTATCCTTTAGCATTCGAACCAGACAGATGTACGCAAGCTGTAAGGGCAACATTAAATTAATTTCAATGTTTCGCTTTTTTAGATACTTGATAAAAAGAGAAAAGTTCATTTGAAGATTTATCTGATCTTAAAATGACCGGGAAGGCCATGATCAGGTGCACTGTCAAGAATATACTTAAACTTTCCTGTTGAAAATTCATTTGAATACTTGACTATGAAGTTTCTTGCTTTTTTTATTTCCGGTGTAAAAGTGTTGCCCTTTAAAAAAACTGTCTTGACCTGCAAACTAGCTGGGAGTCCATAGTGAAAGCCATCAAGATCAACCAACGGATGAATCTTTTTAAACCTTACAACTTCATTACGCAACATTTTTCTTTAGGAAACTTGTTTTTTGAGATAAAATGTCCTTTTCCTTTTTTCTGGATACCCCCAAATGCCCATGAAGGTCATGGTCAAGGTCATGGGCAAACACATACTAACGGGTGATTTTTTAAGAGGTATAGGATTTGATTTTCAAAAAAAACACAAAAAATTTGAAAAAACGATTAAATCTTTATTTGAGTCGATAGAACGGTCGATATAATTTAATGTTTAAAGATTATTTCATGTAAATGTTGGCCGCGGCTCCGCTTTAGATGGCCCATGCGCAAGGTCCAATTTTGGCACACTCTCTCCAACATATCGGTCGGTATCTCACGAATAAATGCTTCAATATTGGCTTCCAGTGCGTCAATCGTTGCTGGTTTATCCCTGTAGACATTAGCCTTAACATGGCCCCACAAGAAATAGTCCAACGGCGTTAAATCACACGATCTAGGCGGCCAATTAACGGGCCCCAAACGTGAGTTAAACTGTTCACCGAATTCGCCTCTCAATAGGGTGTGGCATGTGGCACCGTCTTGTTGAAACCACATGTCAGCCAAGTCCAGCTCTTCCATTTTGTTCAAAAAAAGTTTGTTTTCATCGCACGGTAGCGCTCGCCATTCGCAGTTCCGGCCTTTGTCGTCTTTGAAGAGGTACGGCACGATGATGCCACCGGCCCATAATCCACACCAAACAGTGATTTTTTCGGGATGCATTGGTAGGTCTTGCAATGCTTCTGGCTGGTCTTCACTCCAGATGCGGCAATTTTGCTTGTTAACGTACCCATTCAACCAGAAATGAGCTTCGTCGCTGAACACAATTTTTCGATAAAGATGTGGATCTTCCTCCAACTTTGCCAGCGTCCATTCACCAAATGGGAAACGTTGTGGGAGGTCGTGTGGCTTCAATTTTTGTACCAGCTGTATCTTATAAGGTTTTACACCCAAATCCTGTCGCAAAATTTTCCACGTAGTGGAGTAACAGAGGCCCAATTGCTGCGAACGGCGGCGAATCGACATTTCACGGTCATCAGTAACACTGGCGGATACAGCCGCAATATTTTTTTCAGTCCTCACTCTACGACTGCGTGTTGGTGGTTTAATGTCCAATAATGTAAACTGGGTTCGAAATTTAGTCACAAGCTTCCGAATAGCTCCCTCAGTAGGCCCACCAAACTGCCCATAAATTGGAAGCAGTGCTTTATGCACTCTCTTAACCGAGCATGAATTTTGATAGTAAAATTCAATAATTTGCAAGCGTTGTTCGTTCGTAAGTCGATTCATGGTTAAATTATAGACCAAACTGAACAAGTTTGACAATGACACAAGACACGATTCACGCGTCAACTGTCAAAAACAGTGTTGCCAAAAAGATACTAGCAAAAAAATCACCCATTATAACTTAGAAATGTCCGCTCTTTCCATTTTCGGTTTAAAAAATAGGGAATTCATTTAAGAAAAAGCTGTCTTGACCTTTCAAGGTCCAGTCAACGCTCAAAATCACCAATGGATGTCTCTTTTCAAACCTCACAACTTTGTTCTACCACAAACGTATTTGAGATGTTTTGATCTATGCATACCTATTTTTGCGGTTCCTCTGGTTTTAGTTAGTAATTGTACACATTTTTAGTTATCTCCGTATTGTTGTTCAAACGTGAAGCTGAAAAGACTGGATAGATATTCACTTTTATTAATTTTTTCAAATCAAAATTAAACGTATCTATCAATAATAACGTACGTTTCCCCATTGCGCATATTTGGATGAAGATGTCTAGTTATCTCAGACTAAGACAAATGCAAATAAAACTATATTAACTAGAAAATTTGAGAAAATGTTATGTGAGTCTTTGATACTGAGTAAAATGCAACATTGTTTATTATCCCTGTATGGAGGAAATAAAAATACATGCTACCGCTATACAGGGTGTAAACGTTGTGATAGTCGTTATTTAAATGGGTGATGGAGGGAGTTAAAAGAAGCACAAAGTTTCATATAACATGGTGGTGAAAACGGCATTTTTTAGAGAAAAGCGACTTTAAAGTAAAATAAAATCTGACAAGGCCGCAATGCCAGACGCAAATTACGACGGAACGCAGTGTAAATAAAGATGGAGTTTATTATTTTTGGCTCGTGGGTATTATTTCATTATTTGGTAATGTACTCGTAAAATGCAAACAATTAAAAAAACGGACTTACCACTAACTGTCTCAGCGTTTATTGAACGTATTAAAAAAATCCACTTATGAATAGGGAACACAATTTTGATACATGCATTGTTTTTCTTTTTAAAACCCACTCTGCACTTTTTTGTATTTAAAGAAGGTGTTCAAAATGTCGTCCTCCACTTTCCACACAAGCTTCATTACGACGAACCCAGTTTCTTTTTACTTTATGTCCTCGAAGTTGGCCATTTATTATTTTAGCCACATTCAAATTTTTTTCGCGAAGATGTGCTTCAGTTGTTATTGGACCATCCCTTTAAGTTCTCCCCAATACATGAAACCGTCATGAAGAAACCACAAATTCTGTCTCCGTTGTAATGGCATGTTGTCTAATGTCTGTTCCAAAATTTCTGGTAGGTTATTGGCTAGAAAGCTAAGGTATCCTTCTCCTGACAACTTTGGGGGTGACTCGAAATGGCCAATTACCTGAACGACAAGAATACCCTCCCAAATATTTATTTTAAAACGTTGTTGGAAATGACCTTTCCGAATTGTATGAGGATTTTCTTGGGCCCACGTGTGAGTATTATGGAAATTTAATATCCCTTCTCG